GGACTAGGGAATGGCAGTCCAGATGGGAACTCTAGAGGCAGCTATGCTTACACATTTGCATGGTGTCCATTGCTGCTCTTGTACAGCAAAAGCTAATTGCAGCAGAGACTGTGATCTGCTGCAGAGGACCATAATATTGATTATGCCCAAAGAAGGCTGCGAAGAGTTAACCCCACAATTGGCTTGTTTATAGAAGTGAGTCTGGCCAAAGCCTGTGTGCCGAGGTCAGAGTAACTTGAACCCAAATTCCATTCCCACAACTAAAACCTTCAGACTAGAAGGACAGTGTTCCAGTTACAATCATATATTTTGTCTATTCTGTTCCTAATTTGTGAATGCTTTGTCTTGTCCTTTAGGAGTCTTGTTTACATTAATTTCCATAGAAACCACATGTTGCCTTTACCTCCAATTGATTGCCATTAAAAGTCAGTGCCTGGGACTGGCCGGTGCCTTTGTCGGTTACACCGGCATTGGTCATCCTGGCACCCTGCTTTCTCTCTCTTAGTTCTGTCTCTTAGTGTATTCTTTTTCTCAGGCCTGAATCACTCACTGGGCAGGTGGATACTGGAACCTGACTACAGCGATCTCCAGCAATCTGCAAGACCCAAATTATTTACTGCTTCACCTATTAGTTGTAATCCTTGAAATTCATCATTCTAAGGAGTCTTTATTTTTATTTGAACTCAGGATTATAATTAGAATAGAACGATCTTCATTTGGATATAAAACTTTTCTTAACTCAAAATATAGGAAACCCTAGAATTGATTTCCTTTTACACTTCTTGAATTTTATCCTGGAGCTTCAAAGAACAGAAAAGGTGCCCATTTTGCTTGTTTTTTTTTTTTGATAAGTTTAATAAGGAAAGATGGTCTTCAATAAATGGTACTGGGTCAATTGGCTATCTTACTGAAAATCAAATTGATTTTGACCATTCCATCTATCGCCCATACTTTCCCTACAAAACTCATTTCTAGGTTGGTTTTAGTTCTAAATGTAGTGTGTGTGTGTGTGTGTGTGTGTGTGTGTGTGTGTGTGAGAGAGAGAGAGAGAGAGAGAGAGAGAGGGAGAGAACCTTTTAGCAAAAAGCATAAAATAACTCCATGACGTTGGAATAGATTAATATTTCTTTAACATGAAATAAAAAACATCAGGGTTTAAAAATGATTATTTTTACTACACTAAAGTAAGACCTTTTTTCTACCAAAAGATATTATTTGAAGACTCACACTTTCTAATTTCAAAACTTACTACAAAGCTAACACAGTTAAAACAGTGTAGAAGCATAAAAAGAGACATATAGGCAAATGGAATAAAAGAGACCCCAGAAATAGGCCCAAACATACATGGCCAAGTAAATTTGGTTAAGAGTGCCAAGACCATTTAATAGGGAAAGGAGAATTTTTTCAATAAATGATGCTCAGCAAACTGGATATCTACCTTCAAAAGAATGAGGTTAGATTCTTGCCTTACATCGTATAAAAAATTAATTCAAAGTAGATGAAAGGCCTAAATGTAAGGTCTAAAACTCCAAAACTTTTTAGGGGAAAACTTTTATAACAGAATTTGGTGATGATTTCTTGGATGTAACACCAAGGCACAGGCACCAACTGAAAAAGTGATAGAAAAATTAGACTTCATAAAATATTTTAAATCTTATACATCAAAAGACCCTATTAACAGAGTAAAAAAATCAACCTATCAAATGAGAAAACATATTTGCAAATCATGTATCTGATGAAGGATTGATATCCAGAATGCTGAGAGAACTCCTTTCATTCAAATGTGAATAGAGAAAGAGTTATTACTTTTCTCAAAATATATTTCAGAGCTGGGCTTAGTGGCACATACTTGTAATCTCAGCTCTCAGGGAAGCCAAGGCAGGCGGATGGAAAGTTTGAGTCCACCCTGGGCAACCTAAACACTTAGTGAGCCTCTGTCTGATAATTCAAAACATAAAATTTAAAGGAATAGGGATGTAGTTCAACCTGAAGGCCCTGGTTTCAACCACCCACTACAGAAAGAGAAAGACAGACAGACAGATAGATATAAAAAAGTGCTTAACATCTGTAATCAATAGACAATGCTAATAAAAAGTACTATGAAATATCACTTTTAATCCATTAGGATACTACTATTTAAAAATATAGAAAATAATAAGTGATGGTAAGGATGTAAATTAAAGGAACCCTTGTACAATGTTTGTGGGAATTTAAAATGGCACAGGTACTCTGAAAAAGATAAAAATGGAAGTATCATTTCATCACTAATTCCACTTATGGATATATACACAAAAGAATTAAAAGCAGAATCTCAGAGATGTTTGGATATCCATGTTCAAAACAGTAACATGCACAAAAGCTAAAATACGGAAGCAAGACAGATGTCTATCAATCATAAATGAGTAAGTACAATGTGGAATATACAGACAATGGAATATTAGTCAGCCTTTGAAAGAAAAGAAATTCTGACATATAATACAATATAGATAACCCTTGAGGACATTATCCTAAGTGAGATAAACCGGTAACAACAACAACAATACTGTGTGATCCCACTCAGTGAGGTACATATTCTGAGACCCAAGTCTGCTGCTTGGCATGAGAGGACAGGCAAGAGGAGGGACAAGGTGTTAAGGTGAGGACGGTGACTATTCCAAAAGCCTTGAAGACCCAAAAACTGGAAGGCCCTGGTCCAAAGTCTATCTTACCAGGAGGCTAATTTTCAGGCAAGATGCTATTGAATGGATATCGATTTTTCTTGTTACAGATCAAAAGAATTCTGGAGATGATGATGGAGGCAATGCTTTTACAAAATAATGAGTATGTGTTGTAGTGCTAAACCATACACTTAAAAATTGTAAACTTTATGCTTCCCAAAAGAAAAGTGAGAAACAATAGAAATAACTTTTTTTTTTTTGAGTCCAGGGTCTTTGTACTGAGCTACATCTCCCTAATCCTCCTCCTCCTTTTCTGAGACAAAGGCTTTTTAAGTCATTAAATTGTCTCAGCCTCCCAGAGTGGTGAGATTACAGGTATGAGCCATCAAGTCAGCCTACATTTTAAAATTACACCATAAACAAGTTGAAAAAGAAACCCAGAGTAGGAGAAGATACTTGCAGTACCTATATCTGAAAAGAATTCACAAAACAATTAAAATATAAAAAAAAACAACATTTGAGCAGACATTGTACACCCAAAAGCCAGAACCTAACTGGTTATTAGGAAATGGTGTTCAGTTTACTTATCTCAAGGAAATGCAAATTAAAACCACAATGTACTACTCCAACACACATTCAAAATACCTTAAACTAAAAAGTTAGAAAATGACAAGAAATGACAAAGATGTGAAGAAACTGGAACTCCAATTTATTAGTGATGACACTATAAATTGTTATTTTTTTTAAAGTAACTACTAACCATATACATAATCTAGTCCACTTTTATGTGTATCATGAATGGGAATGAATCAATGTGATCACAAAAGATATACATAACAATACAGATAGTCCTGTTTTTGTAATAGGTAAAAACTGGGAAATTCTCAAGTGTCCATCAAAGGTAGAAGCAATAAATAATGATATATTCACAAAATGAAATACTGTTCAACAATGAAAATGATATGCATGAATCTCAAAAAATGTTGGGTGGAAGACACAAAATAGTACACAGAGTATAGTTTTTTGTATAAAATGTCCAAAATCTTGGCTAAATTAATTTCAGAAGTCAAATAATAATTTCTTGAAGAGAAATTAGTGACCAAATACTGGGTACATAAGATTCTGAAGGAGGTCTTTTAGGATGTTTATGAAGTTGATTTTCAAGCTGGTTATGTAAGTAAGTGGATAGTCTTAAGCTATCCACTTAAGATATCTGTATTTATATTATCTCAAACTTTGGTAAAGTGTCTTATTTCTTGGTTCAGGCACTGGTTACATGGGTAGATTTACTGTTTGAAAATTTACTAACGTGCCTAATGTGTGCATACATGATTTGTGAATTTTCCAGCATATATAATTAACTTTTTAAAAGTTTAGCTAAAATATAAAGTGGAAAAACTATCTCGAAGCTCAGCCATGACCATATCCATAGATAATTTCAAATTGAATAGGAAGAGGGCACAAGTCCCTTCTCTGTGTAAGGTAAAGGGCTACTTCTTACCCCATTTTCCCTGCTATCATGACTCGTCTTTATCATTTTCCCTGAAAGTACCCAATGGCTCTAAAATATAAGGGAAAGAGTATGAAAGGAGATGAAAATGGAAGATAATGTTTTAATTTGGGAGAATTAGATATTTGCTTTACTCTCTGGAGAATTTTTAAACTTACCTTTCTTTGCTTACTGCTCTCAATTCTACCCTCCAGCCCTCCTTGAGCAGTATTGCTCAAGTCACTTGGCCACTTTTCTTATTTGCTTACATTCTAAATGTAAGAGAATAGATGACACAAAATGTTTAATGAAGATGGCCAACAGAGACAAAGTAGATAATCAAATAAACAACACTGTCATTTTTTGATGATTTCCTGAAATATACTGAGCAAAGTTTGTGAAGAATTTATCTGTTATTGCTTGTGTTTAGATGTCCCTCAAAGCCTCAAGCAAATAAGGTGGGGCATTTTTGGAGGTCCCTGGACCTAGTGTGTGAGGCTGGAATCCATCCATGGTGCAATGCTAGGCTCAAGGGCACTGGGATTAAGGATGTGAGTGCTACCCGCCCCCCAAGTAGCCTGGATAAGGTCAAAGGGGCAGAAAGAAGTTGTTAAGGTCCCTTGTTGCTTTTGCCGCTTTCTATTACCATGAACTATTGCCCCGGTGCCATGTGCCACCTGTCTTGGAGCCAGCTGATTATGGATTGAAACTTCTGCAAACTGTGAGCTAAATAAACCCTTTCCCTTTTTACTTTGGGTGTGAGGTATTTTGAAGACTTTTGTTTTGTTTTGTTGTACCGGGGATCGAACTTGGGACCTTGTGGTTGCGAGGTAGGCACTGGAACCACTGGACTAAATCCCCAGCCAGTGTGAGGTATTTTGTCTCAGCAACAAGAAAAGTAACTAAGACATTATCATACTCTTTATAAAAATCTTTATACATGTCACTGAGTAACTATTAACTATAGGCCTAGGACCTAGAGGAATCAAGGTAGAAGTTAGCTTCTTTTAATCCTCCCTTGAGTTTTTTAATAATTTTTCTCTCTTAACTTTCAAATCTAAAAAATGTAAATGATTCCCCCTAATGAGATGAGCTGTTGTAAATCACTTAGCTCTCTACAAATATACTATATTCACTATACATACTCACCAACTTCTCACAAAACCTTTTTTATAATAAAGTATAAGTTTCAAAGTAAGCAGAGCAGTTTCATTTTTCCTAGAATTTATAACTAGAAATTAAAAATCAATCATTATCATTTATGTTTCCAATATTCCAACATTTTTTGCTCTAATTATGTCAGCGTGATTAGAACCTTGTAAAATACACATTTCTGTCACATGAACATAAGCGTTTATCTTGAGATTTATGACATAATTAAAATTTTAAAATATTTAAAAATTATTAGCACACATACCCTCATTAAGACCTTGTTTTTCTAAATGTCTAATGCTTTGAATTGGTGTTTCAACTCAACCTTAGGTGTTGGTTCCACTAGATTTGCTACAATACCCTTCACAGAATGGAGGATTTTAGGGCAAAAAATTCATCTCCTTAGAATCTCATCACAGTTCCTGTTGTGGAACTAGATTTTCACTTGACTGAGATATTGGACTCACTTACATACACATTTAAAAGAAAACAATAATCATAAATAAAAAACCTAATAAAAGATCAACTACAAAATTTGCCCATATATTTAGTAAAATATTAAGTTAAACAAGAATCATAAATCATATTAGTCCAGATCAAAAGGCAGCTAGACTCTGTCACTTGCTAGCCCCTTAGCCTCTGTTGACATTTCTATTAGTTTTTATTTTCAGTCCTCCCTTCACAAGAAATTTAGCAAAAATCAAGTAGATAATCATAAAAAAGACCTCTTTCTCAATAATATCTCCAAGAAACAAAATTTTCAATTCTTGGCCTGCATTACCACAGTACAAGTTGTTGAACAGAAAGTAGCACACACAAGCAAGAGTAGAGAAAATCAAGTGAGGAAAAAAAAAGATAACATTAAAAATTGAAGAATCCATGGTCAGCTTGCATTTTTAGTTTAATTTACTTTTATCTGATACATAAAAATCTAAAAGTTGTGCATATTAATGAAGCACGATGTAATGTTTTAATACATGACCATATTACATAATGTTTAAGGCAAATTAAACATGCTATCTCCTCAAACATTTGTCATTTCTTTGAGGTGAAGATTTTTGAAAGTTTTTCTTCTAGCTTTCCGAACTGTTCAGTACAATACAGTTGCCTAAACCCACTCTTTTCACAATAACACACAATAAATTCTTGCTTTGATTACACTTGAGAGTTCAGAAAGAAGGAAAGGAATTCGCTTGCTAGAAATGAGTGGGCTCTGGGAGCTGTCCGATGTACTGAATGAACCACCGTACCTGCAGCTTTCCTCCCTCATGGAGGCTGGTGTTCTCAGTGGTTCTCCCTCTGTGTTCTTATTTTCAACCTATTTCTTGTACCCCACCTTTAGTCCCCTTCGGATCTTTCAAAAAATCTTTACACTGAATAATTAAGTATAGCTATCCCCCCAAAAAAGAAAGCAGAAAGAACTTTTCTTTGTTAAAATTAGGGATAACATAAAATCAATAAAAGTTTATTTTCATTCTACCAAATTTTAAAACTTTTTTATTTCAAAAATTATCTAAAGGTAGCCCAAAACTCCCTTAAACAGAAGGAAATAATGTCAAATATGTACTCTTAAATCCTACTATAGAATATTTAAAATGATGAGGAAAATCAAAGAAGTAAATGTGTCTGCATTTTTCTTTGTTCACAAATATTTGATCCGCAATTTAAAATCCCAAATATTCCTCGGCAGAGAGTGAGCAGATCTACTCTCTGGCTTATTAAAGATACCTGGTATTTTTGAAAAGAGAGTGGAGTAGTTATGTTTGGGGAGAAGGGTTTGCTTTATCTCCAATACTGAAAATTTTGCAGTAAAGCCCAACTGGGGAAAATGTTTTGATGTTTAGTCTTTCGTTTTGTTTCCATCATAACTTCTTTTCCTCGAATAAAAGTCTCTAGGTGAGTAGAAGATGAGGCCAGGAAGGGAAATTCAAGTATCTCAAGTGTTAGGCTGGTTGCATCCAAACAGACTGTGGAGAAGTCAGAGTTAGTAACAAGCGGGAAAGATGTTTGCCTAAGTCCTAGAACGAGAAAGAAAGCCGGTTCCAACAGCGACCCCGGGGAATGTGCTCAGCCCCCTGCCATGCTTACTTAGGAAGGTCTTGCCTTTCAGCAGCCGCTGCACTGGGATACCAGACAAACAGCTCCCCTCGACCCCTGGCAGGAAGGGCCCCTCTTCGGGACATCATTAAAAGCACATGCACTTGCTGGATGTGAACATCCATTGGCAGTTGGTAGCAAGATTTGGGACTCCTGCCCCGAAGCCAAGGAGAAGCCATTGCTCTGGAAAACATCCTCGCTTTGAACATCCAAGCCGAAATTAAAGAGCTACACGAGATAAGGAGCCCAGAGAACATTAAAATTGGCTGCAGGGCTGAGGACAGACACAAAAAGGCACAGCAGGTAAGAGCTGGGGGTTGTTGCCAAGAAGGAACTGTCCGGAGGGGCCCAGCAGAAAGATCTGGGAGCTGGAGGCCGGACTCTAGGAGCTTCGGTGTGTTACGAGCTCGCGCTCCCCCGTCAGCTTTGCGAGAAGCTCGTCTATGGGCGCAGCTAATCCTGTTACCAGCCTGCTTATAAATATTAATGTCCCTGGCCCATCGGTGATGGTGCCCTGTCAGGCTGAAGGCAGTTAAGAAGCCTCAGCAGCAGCGTCGCCCCTTCTTGCACAAATCGATGGGACACAGGGCCAAGCTGAAGCGATGGCGGCCTACCCCGAGAGCTGCGTGGACGCCACCGTGCTGGGCTTCGTCGCCGACCTGTCCTTGGCCTCCCCGAGACACCCGCTTCTCTGCGACTTCCCTCCCGGGGCTCCTTTTGGGGAGCCGGCACTTGAGCTGCCAGAGGGCAGCCCCAGGAGGCTGGGGCAGTTGGAGGAGGGGGGCGCAGATGAGGAGGAGGGCGAAGTAGACGGAGGGGACGAGGAGGAGGAGGAGGACGACGACGACGACGACGACGACGGGCGCGGCAGAGTCGCCTCCCTATTGGGCCGCCCCAAGAGGAAGAGGGTGATCACCTACGCCCAGCGCCAGGCCGCCAACATCCGTGAGAGGAAGCGGATGTTCAACCTCAACGAGGCCTTTGACCAGCTGCGGAGGAAGGTGCCCACTTTCGCCTACGAGAAGAGGCTGTCGCGGATCGAGACCCTCCGCCTGGCCATCGTCTACATCTCCTTCATGACCGAGCTCCTGCAGAGCTGCGAGCAGAAGGAAGCAGGCTGAGCCGGGCTGGGCCGCCGGGCGCCTCCCCTCCTCTCCCGGCTGCGCGGGGCTGGGGTTCGGGACTGGGCGGCGGGCTCGGGAGGGACGCCCGGGACGGCACTTCGTCTGGCTTCGGGGGCGAGGCTTTGGGCCCCGGAGAAGAGTGCTGGGGCGAGCTAGGCGAGCGGGGAGTCCGGGAGTCCGGGTCCCGGCCGAGGTGGCCGGGTGGGTGGGTGGGTGGGACTCTCAGCTCCTCCTCCGAGCCTAAGGGGCAGAGTTCCGAGCGTCCGGAGAGCCCTAGGTCTCCTCCTTGCTTTTTGAAAAATAGAACTTCTTAGGGCTTTATTTTTAAATGTCAAGCGTCGGTGCCCAGCCATCCGCCCCCAGCTCCGGATCGGGGGCCAGCGCCCTCGGGGAGGGGCGGGAGCAGAGGCGAGCAGGGCGAGTAGTGAGGCCCTTTCCGGGAGGCGAGGGCCTCGGAGCTCCCGCGCGGGGGTTTGTCCGGGAGCAGAGAGGAGATGGGCCGAGCGCAGACTGGCCGTCCGGGGACCGCTGGCCGCCAGCGCGACGTCTGTCTCGGACTCCCTCGCTCCCTCTTCCTCTTTCCCTCGCTCCCCTCCTCGCCCTTTCTTCTCTCTTCTGTTCTCCCTCTCTCTACCCCCTCCCACTCCCCACGCACACTTTTCCGCCCCTCTCCCTCCCTCCCCTCTCTCCACTCTGGGCTGGGCTGCGGCCCGAGGCTCCCCAGACGCCTCATCCCACGTGGCAGCGTCTCCGCGCTCACTCTGCGCCCTCGCCGCTCTGACCTTCCACCCAGAGCCAACTGTTCCGTTCGCGTCCCTGGGTGGAGCGGTGGGCGGAGGCGCCTCTGGCCCCGGAGCCGGGGAGCCAGTGAGGGCCTTGGGCGCCCGCACCTCCCGCCCCCGCTGGAGCACCCGACTGTCGCCCGGTATAAAGGTCCGGTTTTCCAAGCCTAGGGCTCCAGAGCGTACGCAGTGAAAGCTTTAGCGCTAAGTGGGAAAGATAGCTTTCATTCTAAGGGCGTCTGGAGACTACAAGAGAAGGCAAAAAATCCAAAGAGGAGACGCTGTCCGCCCCTTTGCAAAAAATGCCTGCGGTGTGGATGAGTCAGAAGCCTGTTCAGGCTCAGAGTCCGTCCGCCTCCAGGTTGGACCTCGTAGGTCGCACAATTCTTCCTCAGAGTGACTCGCTAGCGACCGAACTTGAGTCCTTCAGAGAGGCTTGAGTAGGTGGAAGACAATGTTCCAGTCCTGTAAATTCAGTAATCCTGCGGGATAAATCCCTAGCAGTCATCCCAACACTTTATGTTGCCCCTCCTGTACGCACGCATACACCAGCGCCGAAGCACACACACCATTCTCCCTTTCATACTTTTATGATACTTAATAAAATAGAATTCATTTTATTAAAACTAATATCCACTCATTCTACAAAGTTTGCAAAACAAAAGTTTGAAGAATAAAATTTAAATCATGCCATACTACCATACTGTTGACGTTTTCATCTATTTCCTTCTAGTCTTTTTTCATGTGCAGTTATACATTCAATGTATTTAACAAATTTGAGATATTTTTAAATTCTAAATTTTTTCACTTAGCATTGTAAAATGAGTATTTCCCCTTGGATTTCAATAGTACTAAAATGTGATTTTGATTATTATATTTTATGGTCTTATCCATGTATCACAACTAAACCCCAATCTTTTACAGGTGGATAGCTGAACTATTTCCTTTAAAAAATAAATAATCCTGCAAAGAACATTCTTATAAATGTGTTCTCTATCTGTTGTAATTCCTGATGTTATATAACTAAAATTGAAATTTCTGGATAAAGTGAACGTGTAAGTCTGTTAATACAAATGGCCAGATTTTCCTCCTGGAATCCCATTAGTTCACACCCCAACTCAGTAGCCTTACAAGAATTTGCCTTGTCAGTTCATCAGTACTTAGAACATTCAAAACTTTCCCTGGTTCTCCTTTCAATTGGAACTGGGTTAGTCCTGAAATAAAACTCCTTCTCCCAACAGCTTTCTTTTTTTTTTTTTTTAACCTCCTTTCCCCCAAGATTCTTTCCACCTCTGCCATAAGAATATTAGGATAAACAGGTAAGAGAAAAATATATAAACAGCTAAGATCAAACAACAGAACCAGGAATGCATTTTTTAAAATTCCCTAACACCTTTATTAAAATAAACCAACACTTGGGCAATGACCATTATATCAGTTTTATACTGTAAAATTGCTCTTTTTTTTTTCTTTTTCCTCTAAGAAACTTTCTAGATACCTAGAAAGACATTATTTCTGTTTTAAGGCACACTTTAAATTACTTATTTTGATAGATGAAAGGAAAATGCTAATTATTTCTTAAATCATCCCTGAACAGTATCCTCTCCCCAACTTATAGTTTTTCCATCCCTCAAGTTTATCTACACAGTTAATCATTCATTCAATCAAATGTTAATTTTCTGCAAAGTGTGTTGATGGATTCTAAATTGAAAGAGCATACAGAAGATCCCTTCCTTTAAGTCCTCCTAGAAATTATCATTTTCTAAAAATCTTCAACCATTGAATAAAAAAGGAAATGTCTCAATTCTAAAAATTCCTAATATTTTGTTGAATGAACCAGTTTTGAAAACCTGAAACAAAACAAAACTATGTTGACCAAGGACCATCAGCATCACTGGGTCCTGAAGAGTGGAGATAGCCATCCACCATCATTAATCCTCTTCCTCCTATGCTAAGCTGTTGTTATATTCTTAGTAGGCATGTACCATTCCAATAGCAAATGCCTCTTCAGCCTAGTAAATAATACCTAAACAACTTCTAGATGAAGAGTTATTTCTCCATTAGTACTAGAAGAATTACATCCACTATTTCTAAAACTGTTACTTTTTATAAATGTTTTTGCTTGTTTCAGTTTTTACCTGTCCCAAAACGTAAAGTCATTGAAGACATTTTCATAATGATTTTACTAGTAGAATAATTTGAAGCGTAGTAAGGACCCAAGACACAGAAATGGATTCACTCACTACTTACATCAAATCATTCATCAATAAAACAAGATGGTCCACATCTCATCCTTCAATCCAAGGCACCATTATATTATGATACCTCAACTTTTCTAGGCAAGTGTTTTTGTTAGATCTGTATAATTAGTGTACTTTTTCATAAAACTTTTCTAGCATTCAACACACACAATGTCAGAATTATTTTATTCTTTATTATTGTCTATCCACATTGATAGAAAGATGAGTGGACATTGACTTTTTAATAGCTCTCACCAGATTTTTTAAACCTAATGGTGTCAATTACTTCTGGAAATTTTAATAGTTGATTTTTGAAATCTTAAAGTTATTGGACATTGAAAATCTAAATACCATTGCTTGGAGGCAATTTATTTATATACTCTTTACTGACTAAAAACTGCCTTTTGGTCTCAAAATAAGTTCCCCATAACTATCAGATTACTATTAGTATTCAGAAATGTCAACCAAGAAAAAAATCTAAATGAAATCATATTTGAAAGACATAATTAGTGTTTCCAAGGAAAGTAAAATAATCACAAGCCTTTCCCATCAACAGGGAGCCATTCAAGCTGATCATCTTTTAGTCAGTTACCCAATTTAAAGTCAGGTTTTGGCAAAAGTGTTTCTCAAAACTAAACCAAATATTCTGCTAGTATGCATAATTCCTGCATGAACATACAATTAAGAGCCTTGGATTGGTGTTTATTATCACATTTGTCAGCATTTCCATTATAAAAATACTTGTGGGAGACTTATAACATGACTATAAAAATTCTGAGATGAAACTTGGTAATCAGGATTTTAGGATACTTTTCTTCTTAATTACAAATCTACAGAAGAAATTTTAAAGAGGATGAAGCCACCAGTACATTTTACATGTGCTGTTCCAAATTGTACCTGTGATTTTAAAAATAAGAGAATTCATTTTATACAAGATATAAATTAGATCGATTTTATTTTTGTCAAAAAGAGCTAGCAGATTAATAATATCCCATGTTAAGTACTACACCTTTTTATAAACTGATATTATTTCATTAAACTATATTTTAAATACTCCTTTAAAAGTGGCAAAATTTTGCTGTATATCAATCTATAACTTGGCTTAAGTTCTCTCAAAAGTTCCTGAACTTTGCCAACATTTTGGGTAAAGTTAGGCCCAAGTTCTGGTCAGCACCATCTCTTCCTGTGAATACTGCACCAAAAAATGGTTACAAAACAAGAGTCAGCAGTTTTGACCATTTTATTTTGACTTTGGGGTTTCTTTGAATCTGAAGTTCAAAACCAAACCTGGCGGAGGAGGAGAAGGAAAGAAAAGAAGCAATGCAAACTGACAGGAATAAAATACCAGAAAGATGGAAAAATTTCTTCAAGTCTCTTTAAATCAAAGACTATAAATTTCCACAACTTTCTCTATGATACAAAATTTTTCACTCTGTGCCCATAATGCATTCCTGAGAGGAGTAAAAGAAAATGCAAAGTATGAATATATTTTAGCACACTGGAACTTGGTACTATGCTACCCTGATTTTGGCTGAAAGCAGTGAACTTTTAACACTAAGTGAAATCAAGAATTTGCCAAATATGACATGATAGAAATGACCATGATAAAATGGCTTGTTTGCTTAGTACTTTATTGTTTTCAAAACACCATTTATATACCTTGATTTTCACATTTGGATCTCAACAAGATCTAGAGTCTCTCAATTAAATTAAATCATAGTGTATCATTTTAAACATTCCTTTACTTATCACTGAAAACAATATGACACTGCAATTCCTTAAAAAGACTGATGGCCACATATAAGCAACACAGCACTTTGAAAGATATTGCCTTCAAAGATCAAAAGCACCTTAACACGTTCTGTGGATGATAAATTATTCAAAAGGCTGGTATGGCCTGGCTTCCTCAAAGGCCAAATTTTACAACATTCTATTTAGAGCTCAGTGAAGGAGATTTCCACCTGCAGCCAACAAGCGTAGATGATCTCAAAGCAGCTGTTATGGATAGTCCCTTTTTTATGATTTCCAGTCTTCAAAAGGGAAGAAAAAGCATATAAGAATACGGAAACAGATCAAACAACTGATGAACAATTGAAGGCAAAAACATCATATAAATGTGTTTGCATGGATGAATGATCACACTATTGTTGTACT